TATCAAGAGAATTTATTGCCATAAGGCTATCTGTGAAAATTACCCCTTAGCTTATTTTGAGCCTAATTAATATTTTTACAGCCTGCCTAGCTGCTAATAATTCCCCAAAGGTTGAGGAGAAAGGTTCCTTCAACTTATAAAGATGGGGCATTTTTTGATCTATGTCATACACGGCCATTCCAACCGTATATTGTGTTACTGAGGCATCCGTAGTCAGCAAGTCACCCTAATTATACAACTAATTTTTTAATTTACAGTAATCACCTTTCAGCTGCTCTACCGTAAGGTTATTTTTTGAAGTACCAAGGTTTGAGTTTTTTAGCGGGAGTCCACTGAACCTATTAAAAGCAGTGTTACAATTAAGTTCATTAAAAATACTTTTAAATTTTTTTTAAACATATCCATAACTAGATTTTTTCCCCCAATGTTCTGTAGCTGGTGATTTCTTTAGCCGTTAACCAAATAGCTCTTTCGATAGGAGGTAGCTCACCCGCTAAGGCATATCTTGCATGGATTGGGGTATACGGAGGAACTCCCAAGCACCTTCTTATCGCATTATTTAACCCTATTTGCAATTTTTTGTTCATACCGCCCATAGCATTAGCAAAAGTCGAGCAAGCATATTCAGCTTTTAATCTAATGAAGGATTTGTGGAAATTTGAAGCAATTCTTGGCTCTAAGCCAGATTTTATACTTGTGAGTTTATTAGGGACATTGTTGGCAGGAAGGATCTCTTTTTTAATATACCCTACATGATCGTTTATGGTTGCATTTGCGCTGACAATCCTGCCTAACCACTTCATTTTAAAAACTTGTTGAAGCTGCTGTCCATTAATGCTAGGATTAAACTCTCTCTTTCTATTATTGTTTAAATACATAAACTTAGTTTTGCTCATATTTATTTTAAGATTTAGGGAACTACACAAATTGATAAAGTGAATTACAGAGCTTTTGAGGTGGTTTAAATTTTTAAGAGGAAAGCCCAAGGGTCTAAAATATGTAAGAAAGACTGAAATATTGAGAATGCAATTCAATATATCACTTAACAAGACTTAGTACTTAGTACATTTCTAATTTAATATGTATTATCTTTTACCTTGTTCCTTTGTTTAATGATGCACAAAATAAAAAAAAGAATAAAAATTAATAGGTAATTAAAAAAAAAGAAAAAGTAAATTGAATTTGTATACATAAGTCTTTGGACATTTTAGTTTTCATGCAAATGTAGTAGATTAAAAGATAATATTTCTGTAAGGTACCACTCCAAACCTAAGTATTATTTTAAACTTTTATGTTTTCCAATAATCCAATAATGTATATAGATATATATCTGTAATTGTTTTGTCACAGTATATACAGAAGTAAACCAGTTTGAGTACTCCTCGGTTGTAAAATCTGATCAGGGTTGATAATGAGAAGGATCATGAATTTTGCTGATTCAGAGTTACACACAAAATTACTGTGGTATGAAAGGGAGCAACAACCGTACCAGGACAGAGGTAAACAAACACTTTTCTTATAATTTTAAAGAGATAATTCCTATTGTGGCGAATACTGCGGCAACACAAAGCGAACAACGAGAAATAGGCAGAATGTTCGAGGAATGACGTAGAATGTTCCACAAAGAGAAACGTCAAGTTGGATGAACACTGCGAACAGCGAGAGAAAGAGAATGAGCGATAAACTTCAGAACGTTCTAGAGCTGCCATAAGTGTGAGCGCAGGTATATAAGAGCCACGACACAGCGGAGTTGGGACAGTTACAATTCAACAAGCTACAAGTAAAGTGAGCGGAGAATCGAGTTGCGAATAAG